AACAACAGTGTTTTTCACTTGATCAATAGCTATTTACTGACCCGAAAAATGGAAAGTACATTAGCATACTTTTAAGATTAATTAAAGTATTTCGTCAGACACTGACTGATAGAACAACAAGCAGTGAATGCAAAAGACTGGAATTTTATTTTAAACGCTTATAAATGTTCCGATATGTAAAGACCTTCAAAACCAGGATCTGACTAAGAATGAGTCATAACTCAAGGAGATTTACTTGTTTTTTATAAATCTCGTAGGGCATCTTCCAGCTCTACCGAGAGATAAATTCAATGTCACCATCATGTTCCATTCGGTTGTAAAGTTGTTGTGTTTATGTATAAAAAAAATATTTCACTCAGATATCGTTCAATGATTATTTATTAATTTTATACATTGAATGTATCAAACATTGATAAATAATTTCTTCTAATCGAACCAGAGTCTATATATTTTATTTTATATGTGAAGTATCTTCGATGAGGCTAAATATATGATGATGAAGAAAGATATATATAAGTAGGTTTGTTTACAATATCTTGCACGTGACAGACGAAGCAAGTTACATTAAAATTGTTAATAATAAACTGAATCATCAGTCATTGTTTTACAGAATTTATATAACAACAGTAATATCCAGCTTAATGGTTATGCTCCATAATCTAATTGTGTAATTCTCCATGTCTAATTTAATATCAAATATTGGATCATTATAAAATAATATTGTGCAATTTAAGTTTTTTAAAATATATTATTATCGGCTTAATTATTATATTAAAAAATATAATAATCAAATCACAGTAATAAAATAATTTGCTACACATTTAAACAAGCTCATAATTGAATTGTAATTAAACTGAGGGCGTAGTATTGATTTTTGATTTGTGTTGAAATTTAAACCTACTGAGATTTCTGTTCTGAAACCAACTTAGGGTCAGACATACATTTTAGCTCAGAATATACTCTTTGAAGTGTTTAAAAAGTGCCAAATTATTACTAAGGAATCTCAACCACAGCAAAGATAACTAATTGTTTTATTTATTTTGGTGACCGGCGTCACATGATTAAAGTTGACATTTATTTGTGTGTCAATGATCTGCTTGAGAATGGGCACCTATACCGGTTGGTATCACTATTATTCAAGAGCAACCACATCGCTTTCACTCGCACTTTATTTACATACATAGGTACATACGTCGTGAATGTTAGGTACAACTGGAATCTGGAATTATAGGGGACAAGTAGTAATACAATTTAATCAACTAATATTCATATTGAATTATGAGTTTTTAAGAAAATCTATTTTGAATTTATTTTAATTGGAGTTAATAGCAGATTTGTAAGCTTAAATTTTTACCGTTCACCAAAAGAGATAAAGGTAATACAAAAAATAATTAAATTTAACACTATAAAAATCTGTTTACTGACTAAAGCCTGTATTAAACTATACCGTAGCATGGTTTAGTTATGCAAAATTTCTGTTATCTCTGAAAATACTATCAACTTGAATCGATTGGACACACTATATCTACCTATTTAAAAAATACGTTATTATAGAATATTGAATGAACATACGCTATATGTTATACACTTAAATTGTACAACCTAGACAAAGTCTGGACTGCCCGTAACTAGCTAATCTCATAATTTTATTTTCTATTACTGAAGGTGATCAAAACAAATTTTTTCCCACTAAGAAACCGGTTATGTAATTTGATTACCTACTACAAACAAGCCTCAAGTTTACCACATTTTTGCCATAGATTAGTATTAATTAATAGTCACCATGTCGCCATAACAGCCGATTATAACGTCTCGCTACTGTATAAGGGTCTTTCCCTATATATAAAATAAGATTTTTTAAGTTATGGACACTCTAAATAAGTTGAGTAATAAATTTTAGTTTTTATTTCGAGTTTATATTTTCTAATTACGAATGGGTTATCTTCACTACATATTATAAAACAAAGTCGCTGTAGCTGTCTATCCGCCCCTATGTATGCTTAAATCTTTAAAGCTACGCAACGGATTTTGAAGCGGTTTTTTTTAATAGATAGAGTTATTCAATAGGAAGGTTTATATATATATATATGATACATGTACATTCGTGAGAAGCCGGGGTGGGTAGCTAGTATATAATAATATGATGAAAAGCTGAATAAATAAACACTAAATTTGATAAACTGTTGTATTTCCACCTATCCATGGACAGTAGAGGCAAGTAAAAAGAAGGTTGAATAATATTTGCTATTCAGCCTCTTTATTGCATTACACTGTAATTACATATCGGCCACGTACGGACATTGTAAATTCAATGCACATTTACACCGAATGAAGATCATTAATTCTCCGATTTGTCTTTTATGCTCTAGTAACGAAACTCAAACATTAGAACATATATTTTTTGATTGCCCGGCCTTCAATTTAAACAGAATTTTGCTCATTGCTAAGCTTCAAGAACTATATAAGATTATTCCGCCATCGCTTCAAGAACTATTCAAATGCACTGCAACTTTTAAACCAATTTACGACTTCATCATAGCAACTATCGGAGAATTATAAACATTTCAATTATGGACAGAATTTTTTTAATTTCATGGAAAGACTACTGAAGATTAGGCTGTATGGTCTCGTACCTTTGCCTATCCACTTGTGGATAAAATATACCACTACTACTACTATCGGCCACGTACTATAGCCGTATATTATAAGAGTGATAATAAAAGAAGCAAGTTTAATTTGAAATAAGAACGTCTTTATTTTCAACTGTCATTTGTTTATTGTATTTTAATTATTAATTATTATAATAATAAAATTAACTGATTAAGATGTAATACCGGATGATACAGAGTTTGGCGGAATATAGTTTACGCTTGAAGCCAGTGAGTAATGGAAATTATTTTTTAATAATTTCTCTATATCGTTTTGTACCTAAAAAATATTTTACTTGTGAAGTACGTAATTTTTATGTAAATTATCTAGAATGAAGAATTTATAATACAATAGTTATACTAATATACTTTTACTAAACTTGAACACAACAATATAAAATTTCACTGTACTTTAAGTGCTTCATTATATAATGTTGAATATTCACAGTACGAATATGTTCGTACGATTAAAGTAGCTTGTAATTTCAAAAAGATCCTTTGTCAAAGAAATTTGGAATAATGGTCATAGGAAAACAGTTACGAGGTCAATTATGACGTGACATCGAAACCCGCCAAACTTTGCTTAACATGGTTTCATTTTATTATAAGCATACAAAACATATTTCTGGATATTATTAAACATGATTACCATTATGTCTTAATTTATATTAAAACTGATCTGATATGTGAAGTATTAAGGTATCATAATCTAAGATACCAAGTTTACTAAACAACTTAGTACCTTAGATATGTTTCGTCGTATTTGTGCTCTTAAATATCAACAAAATAGAGAGTCGTATGACGTTCGATTTTTATTAAATTCATTACATATTCTGCATCCAGTCATAATTATATATCTACATAACTCTAATAACCACTGACTTATGTGTAAGATATTTTTATATCGTTAGATTTGTCTTCTAAATAAATAAAATAGATACCTAAATATTAAATCCATTATTAGTACTTACAACACCATACTATATCTCAAATCAATTATTTGGACATCCAACAGACCACTTAGTTTATGTATTTAATTTTCTTTTTCCTAGTTTCATAATCCGCCAAAAAGTTTGCTATGATAATATTATGCATGATTTCATAAAAACTTATTAAACAAATGATCCAATAATTTAGAATCGTGTACGTTTGAATACCTGCTTATTTTAAGCAAAATAAACACATCTTATGTAGTTATATGTACGTAGCGCGATACGTGGTACCTAGTACGTCTCAATCTTGTACCTACTACACAATCTATTTCAACCCGGTTTCGTTGTCGGATTGTTTTCTAAAAATCATATTTTCTATTTCCTATTTAAAACTCGAAAAACGAGGTTCTCTATTCGATTGTTTTTGTGTGTATATTTTATAGGATCTGCAATTCTTAGTCAATTTTTATGATTCACAATCGATAGAGTTTAATCTCATCTTTCTTCTGTATTAGAATAGTAATATTATAGAGTTGAGAAGTGGAGTTACATTTCACCGATCGAACTGATATACTTTTGTCACCAAACTTGTAAGTTCCTAACTTTGAAATAGTAATTTTAACTGTCATCCAGATTTTGAGATTCATATTTGATCGTATGTTCGTTTAAGTTATTTCTTGTACACCTTAATAATCTCTTGGTTTTTATAATATCAGTAGTATCATAAAAGAGGTACATGTTGTATTAAAAGTTGTTTTAGTATTCAAGTAAAGTAAGTTATGTCGATGTTTCCACGGATTCGTGAGATGCGTACCTTCCATTTAAAAGTTAAAAACGATGATATCATTCACTTAACTTAGCTATTTATATGGTATTCGTATATGTGTATCGTATACCAAAACTTGTATGGCTAGTTTTATGTACTTATATGCTATGGTACAATGTTCATCCAGATACGCATTAAGTATTTATCATAGGAATAGAAATTTAAATGTTTTTTTAAAAAGTAACCTTACAGGTTTTTACTAGAAATAATAACCATTTAAAAGGCCATACCTATTATATTCATTAATAATATATATCATAATTTCCTTTAAAATTGACTTTCGAATTTTGAATCTGTTCCAAAATATTTCCTTTGTGTTTGCTTACGAAAGCGTAATATTCCCTATTCTTAAAGCCGATTTTATTTTATGTAACATAATTTATTGTGATATCCTGCCTGCTGTCTAGTATCAGGATATGAGAGACATGCCGCATACAGGATGGTATGTTTATAACCGATGATAGAATGAGGATGAATGAAATGTTTAGCGACTCTGATGTATTCTTTTTCTACTATCGTGTTGGCATCTTATTATGATTATCTACCGATTGAAATCTACTTAATTTAAAATTATCCATTCTGTTTTGTTATCAGGAAATGGCTGGAAGAAGTCGCGTTAGCAAACAAGCAGGGTAGAAAACCATCGCTCCTGCGCGCCATGACTAAAGCATTCTGGATGAGTTATGCACCTTCTGGGATCATGTTCTTTATACAAGCACTACTACTTAAGTGAGTAAACATTTTAATATAACACATTGATATGTGTGTTTTAGTGATAGTTTTATTGAGGCATACTTAATATTGCTATATAATATCATCGATACATACTTAGATAATAAAATATAATGTCAGTATCTGCATGTAAATTTATATAGAAGTAAATCTTGAAGAAAATGATTCAGTTTCACACAATTACTCACATTCATTTACTTTTTTTGATAAATCAAAGTACACATAAATACAGTTTCTTCTTATCTATGTGGATAAAAAGTGTATAAAAATTATTATATCCTTGCAAACTCTTTTAAAAATCTATTATTACTGTTTATTAATTTGTGCATATGAATTAATTTGTAGTAAATAAGTATTTAATGTCAAGTACTTATAGCTAATATACGATCCTTCTCTACCGCTAATTTGAACAGAAAGGGAATGGTATAGTAGCTTGGACTGTTAGTTCTCTAAAATTGGTTAATCCCTCTGTAAAATTACGGTGTCGTTGGAAGTAATAAAGATGATCGCCCATCCATCACACTCACGAATGGTTAATTTTAAGCTAATAAAACATGCATGACCACTGAATCAAATCCATCGTCATTGTGGTTATTGAATTTATATTGTGTTTTAACCAATGTGGTTTGAATATATATTGTGTATGAATTAACAATAGCAGATACATTTGCAGGTTCAACATTTTATCTTAAATTTTACAAAATAATGTAACTTATGCGGTCGCAAAATTATCGTACAAATATATTACAACAATTTTCAACCTTCAACAATCACGTCACACGACTTTAATTAATTTGATCCTACCATAGTGGTAACATTATTTTCAGACTTCCCTCTCTTTTACAAATGTAGGTACACTTGTAAACTTATCAAAAAAACAACTCAAAACTTATGTTTATAGCGATGAAGTTGAAAATGAGTTAAGGTTTTTATGTATAAAAGGTGTATAGCCTAATACACCACATTCATTTTATTTTAAAAAGTGATGTCACTTAAGGTTAGTTTTAGTGTTAGAACCTCTACCACCTTGTCATACTTTATCAACCTCTCCTCCATAATGTATGATGTAATTTACAGATGGCTTCTTATTTCAAGTATTCTATTATTACACTTTTGTAATAATATTCAGAGATGAAACTAACAACGTACTGTTATTTGCCAGACCGTTTCAACCAGTTGCACTAAGCTTGATGCTGTGGTACTGGGAGCCTGGTTCGGACATGCCGTACGAGCAAGCAGTGTACTGCGCTACGGCGGTGATCCTTATGTCACTGTTGATAGCATTTCTCAACCACCATGGTACATACTCAACTCAGCAATTCGGCATGAAACTACGTATAGCGGCTTGTTCACTTATTTACAGAAAGGTAAGTAAGCTATTGCATTAATGGGGAAATTATTTTCTTACGGCTTCTGTAGAATCTGCAGTGTAGATCTATAATAATAAAACCCAGTCAGGGTTTTAGAAATTTCAACTACACAGCACCATGTATAAGGAATGCTGCGGTCAAAAGCTTTCCTTTTAATCCTTTTTACTCGTAACGATCATTACAACATTATTTACCATATAGTTGCGTTTTTATATTTTACAGTTTAGTATTCCTTGTTAGGTTCTAGAGTTTGACGAGGTCGAAAACTGTAGGTTAGGCACTATGTTACAATATAACATAATTAATAAAAAAAATGGTACATTGTGCGCGGGATACTTCATTTAAAATCTGTGTAAATTGCGAATGATAATGTTATTTTGAAAAAATATTCATAGAATGTAGTATGAAAATATTTCTTCAATCTCATTACACATTACATTTATGATTACATTTCCTCCAATTTACATAGTATTTTTTTAAATTAGCTATTATTCTACTATGATGTATAAGCTATATTATTGTAAAGTTTCGTCAAAATCTGTTCAGTAGTTTCTGCGTGAAAGAGTAACAAACTTCCATCCATACTCACAAACTTTCGTGTTTATAATATTATTAATAGATATTTAGGTAAAAAATATAAAAGTCTTCTATCCGTTGTCTAATTGGTATTAGCACAAACTACTTAGCTTGGTATCAGCTTATTTAGATTTTTTTACAGCTGCTTTTTATATTTATTAATGATTCGATACTAGTAAGTAAAGGTTTATATTGTCACCAGGTAATGCGTATGAGCTCTGGTGCCTTAGCGCAGACTACAGCTGGCCAAGTAGTAAATCTTCTGTCAAACGATGTGAATCGCTTCGACTACGCATTCATTTATACACACTTTATTTGGTTGCTGCCTCTACAAGTGATCCTGATTTGCTACCTCATCTATATTAAAATCGGGTATGCAGCTGTTGTGGGAGTCATCGGTATCGTGCTGCAAACCATACCAGTTCAATGTAAGTGTCTTTAAATTCTAGGTTAATATAGTTAGGGCTCGAATCACTGGAAGAAATTTCATGTGTGTGTTTATGGATAGTATGAACCGACTAATATGTCTCTATACTTAAATCTACCTGTATATTTAAATCTACTGTATCAGAGCTTCTCTGTAACAGTTAGATATTAACTAGTATATGTTTCCGCATTTTTTTATTTATTTCCTCGTGCGTAATAACGTACTTGTTTCCTGTCATTGCAAATCGTTATTAAACCTATATTCTCAATTTAAATGTATTATACACTAACAACGAATATATTATATTTATATATGTTATGATACGTAATGTTTACGGGAAGCTATTTAAAAATTATTGAAAATAATATTTTATTATTTGTTATAAATGCAACAACTCTATCCATACATAAATTCCAAATGTGTTTTAATTATTGCGCACTTATAAGGATATAAGTGCGCAATAATTAATATATTATAATAAAATATTATTTTCTAATATAACAAATAAGAAAATATTATTTTCAATAATTTTTAAATAGCTTCCCGTAAACATTACGTATCATAACATATTGAATGATACCAACTATAATTATTTTTAAGTATATAGTAAAAATTGCAATTAAATCGCAAGACCCACATAGATTAAATTAAATGCTTTCTCCTTACCGCAAAAAAAAATACTTATAGATAGGCATAGCATTATCGAAATAGACCATAATTGGTTCAAATGTAATAAAATTAGAATACTATTTAAAGTAAAACTGGTAACGTATAGGCTAGTAACCAAACAAACTATAGCTAAACATAACATAAGGATAACATCTCGAACAATTTCTCTACATAGAGCGCACATATAGCCTTGATTCAGAGAAAATTGTTCAGTTTCAAACAGAAGCCCCTGGACACAGTATTTAATCAATTTCGATTCTTAATCATTACAAGTCACGTAATGTATAATTTCCGGTATGACTGTTGATTTTATTACTGTGGCCGAAAACAATAGTTAAAAAAATCCCTCCTCTTCACAAATCAGTGAATTATCGTATCTAAAAATCTACCTAAAACGTACCATAACATTATATTTAATATATGTAGTGGTACAATACTTCAATTTTCTATAGAGGACTACGAGTATATTAATAATGAAATACTTAACTTAACACGAAGTAACGAGTTATGGCTTTACATATTTCTCAATGGTAATTTGAAAATAAGTAAAATAAGCAAACTATAACAGTTATGGAAAGATATTTAGAATTTAGCTGTAGATAATATAAAGCAAGCACTATAGATATATGGACTGTTTTAGTATATTCATTATGATCCTAATTTTGTCAAAATTTTATAGTGCGTTTTTAAGGGCTTAGAAAGATATGCACTGAAAATAATTTCAACTTTATTTATTAGTAAAGTTTAACTTTAAAGATATTTGGTATAAATTATATTTTATATTGGCAAAACCATTTCCTCGAGAGGATTAAAAAAATACAAAAACAATACATAATTGTATATCAAAAAATCTTACACTGCTTTCGACTTTCGTGAATACATAATCTGATTTAACTTAATACACAATAATGTATTATTATTATTATTGCAGCTTATATGAGCAAATTAGCTGCAAGATTAAGAATGAAAACAGCCTGCAAAACTGACGAGCGAGTGCGCATTATGGACGAAATCATCAGTGGAATGCAGGTTAGTTGTAAAATAAAAAATCTTTAGCTATAATTATTATGTAGATCAGACATCTTGATATTAAATTTCACACTATACTTCTTTTGTACATCGAATGTGTAATATTATATATTATATTTGTGTATTGTACTGATTCCTAACATCGTCCTTGGTATTAAATGGAGTATAAAACGTCGTGGTCCTCCGTTACCATACGAATAAGAAGTATATCTACTTAATTTGTTTATAATTTTACGCTGTTGTTAATTTTTTTTAATATAAACTGAATGTATTTTACATTAATACCTATTAGGGACCTTTATATAAGACACTATAATCAGGTTGCAATCGTTATAGTTATAGACTATTATAGTTAGGTATTATTGTTATTCATAATAATATCAACACGCATAAATTACACACACATTAATACCTTTTAATAATTAAATACATATCTGCAGAATACAACTATTGTTGGGTTCTTTAACAATCAGTATAGGTTTCAAAATTATAATACGAGTACATACAAAAGCGCCATGTAGTCTCAAGCTAAACAGAGCTTGTGTTATGTGCACAAGACAACTGATATACTAGACTACATACATTTTTATATAAATACATACATAATTAATATACATAGAAAAAACCCAGACCGATACAAATAATCATACTCATGAATATTAATGTTTGCATAGTGCAAGGAATCTAAACCCGCGACCATCGGAATTAAGCTAAGGTATTAAAAAGCTACACCACCGAGGTCATAAAAAAATATATCGCTATTCAATATTTTTTTAGGTTATAAAAATGTACGCGTGGGAAAAACCTTTCGAGCAAGTGGTAGCGGTAGCTCGTAAGAATGAGATCAACTCTATTACACAAGCATCGTATTTGCGAGGTGTATACCTCAGTTTCATGGTGTTCACAGAGCGTCTCACTTTGTACATCACTCTACTCTCCTACTCTTTATTCGGCTTCCAAGTTACTGCTGACATCGTAAGTACCAGTATTCGTAATATCTTATAATAATCTGACTATTTTCTACCTTCGATGTTTTTCAAGGGTTTATTAATATTCGAATTTGTTTAAAGTATTAGGATAGTCCTAATAAAATTTTATTACTGATCTTCATCAACTTCATCGTCCAAGATATTAGTTATATTGAATTTGCATAATGAACTTTTTTTATGTATTTCTAAAATGTAAGGTTTGATACCTTACATTTTACAAGAAATACATAATAAAATTCTGCTACGCCTGATTCATAAAAGTAGCAAGAATCGCAAAATCGCCGAATGTTTCATAATTACTGTATCAAATTTTAATATCACTATTATTCAAGCATATTTTTCATTTAGGCACAAATAGTTTAAATTATAATATGTCAAAAACATATAGGAACAATCTGCCATAAGTTAGCTGCTTTCTTATTCGTTATACAGCCTAACAGGCATTACAGAGATTGCAATGTACATACTCTCCATATTCTCGGGTATCTACCGATACTCTTTCAACATGTAAGAACTTTACAGGTATTCCCACTGGCTCAATTCTACAATACTCTACAAGGAACCCTATCGATTATCATGTCGAATGCTGTATCATTTTTGGCTGAGGCGCTGATTTCGATACAACGCCTCGAAGCGTTTATGCTGTTGGGTACGTGAGACTAGTGGTCTCAGCATGTTATACATTGTGCGCAGTTGCACGATACATTAACATTACCTCCTCGGTCTTTCTCCACACGAGCACAATTTATAACTGTGACTCGTACTTTCATTAACTCTAGTTATAATTTCTATAGAATGCATGATTTTAATAAGACTTTTAAAATGATAACACGAATAATATAATAAAGCGTGCTTATGCATGTTAGGTTATTACAAGGCAAGCAATTGTAAATAGGTACCTATGCATAATAAGTCTTAAAATTTGTAAAGTTTATATTAGATAACTTATTAATGCATGTTATACTTCTCGCTATGGGCAATTGGTTTATAACATCCCGTGTATATAATACCTGTAAAAAACGATTGTAATACTTTGTAGGTAACTATGTCTACTTTATACATTCACTAAATACTTAACTGATAAAAATTCAAAATGTATCTACCTTTCAAGGAAATGTAGGTACTTATACATTTCATTTAGAATTACAATAACATCAACAGACACACCTGTTTTGCCGAAAAATTACACCAACTGTCGTCATAAAGCCGAACAGAATTTCCGGTTTATCACACAATATGTTTGGCCTACGATATGACGTAGATATTAATAATAAGTATACAGCAACAATGGTGTTCACAGGCTTTCCCGATGGCACAAATGTTCAACATTCTCCAAGGTACCGTAGCTGTCATGCTGCCGAACTCTCTTTCGATGTTAATGGAGGCTCTAACATCTATTCGCCGTATAGAGGCCCTCTTGTTGCTCGGTACGATCATTAATAGTACAATTGTATCAGTTTGACACGTGAAGGTGTTATAGTTATGTCTTTATACTCTTACATGTTAATTAAAAATGTGTTGTCGTGTTGTTTCACTAATTCTCTGTCTTGCTTTTTAATACTAACAACTATAGGTATATGGTTACTAATTTGTTTATGAACACATATCCACTAAGTACTTTATCTTTTTTATTATGTTTGAGAAAAACAATAACAGCTTGATTAGTATTTGTCTACACTTTTTAGGTACCACATCATTACACTTTTAAATATAATGAAGAAGAAATATATAATACAATTTTCATACTCGTCAGTATATAAAACGGTCTTATATTAATAGTAGTCTGTATTTAACTTCAGTAACTATCTATTGTGGAATGAAAACGATTCTAGAAACCCACAAATAAATAAATAGCTTCTTGAATTACAATCAGTAGTCATTTTCATAATGAAGCCATGAAAAAAACAAGTAGATTTGATAAAAGAACAAATTTGTACGGTTCCGTTTTCACCTTGGCTAACCATAAGAACGGCAATCAGTTAACACAAAATTTGCTAGTACAATGAAGATAAAACTTTTCGCATTCTAACATATTTTGCTTCATTTTTGTACAGCTACAGTAGAATGCACGCTAAATTGTACAAGATAATTGATTTTTGATACGTAAATATGTAAGTATAACATAAAATTATCTTATTTTAACAAGTTTGTTGGAGAAAATTTTACATATTTCCATGCTGCATTTCGGAGTATTATGGCCGTTTCCTGACAACTTATATACATATAAAAGAAAATGTCCCAATAGAGAAATTAATCGATTTTTTATATAATTACAACAGATGAAAGAGAAGATCTACGCGGTGTACCTAGTGTGGATATCGCGAAACTTGTTAAAAGCGTGGAAAGTAAAAAGGACAAAAACTTAAGTGAAGTGGATCTAGTTACCAACACGTTTAAAAAAATAGACGAAGAGGGTATATTCAATCCAGGTTAGTATTGTTACTCAATATACGTCATATTCCTACATAAAATAAATTGTAAGAGAACTTAAGAGTCAGTTTTACATTTTATGACAAACACTATAACAGTTGTACATATATTTCTCTACATTTGCCACTTGTGATAGCAGACAGATAATTTATAAGTTAAGTATTTTAAATTCGGTAGGTATTAGTCAACAATATATGCACATAAATATAGAATATTTATATAATTATTTCAAACACAAACGCAAAATAGCTATATTCCAAGTTACTAAAGAAATATAAATGAAAAGAAACATCCCATTAATATATTAGTTACATCTTTAGGTTTTGATAATACAGAAAAAGGTTTAATGAAGCAAACACATAATGCCAGACCGATTAGCCCAGATGTTGGTATACTCATTCAGGATGTATATGCGAGTTGGACTGAGAACGGTCCGGTTACCTTAAATAATTTGAGCATCACCGTACCGAAAGGCAAATTGTGTGCCATCATTGGTTCCGTAGGCTCTGGAAAGGTAAGGAATTAATAACTACTAATTACTAGCTGTACAGTTCTTAATTCAGGAAAATTTAGATTATAATATATTTAGGAAATATCTTTGTACGGAGGGAAAGTATGACGCCTTACATCTCAGGAATGACAACACTTTGGTGATATCTCGTACATGGCGCCACAAATTTATTTCATGATGTACATTGTGTTGATTTAGTACATATTATTTTAAGCGAAACAGGAACCGTCAGCTTATATGCCATTTCAATTGCATCAAAATAACATTTAATATTCGTCATGTTTATCATACCATACGTAAATTTTTTTAACTCTATCTAAATTATTACTTATTTAAAAATGTTTATTAGTTATTCTTCTGTACACATACAAAAGTTTTATACTTAATGTCTGTCTGGTATGTATAAATAATCTGCACCAATCAGCATATCATGCTGAACAGCTGAATAAGACGGTGCATTTTATATATATACATATATATATATATATATATACATACTACTATAATATAAAATCTTGAAGTGAAGAAAAAGTGTCTACTGTAGTATACCTACATACACATTAGAAATAATCTTATTCGCTCTGTATATACCTGTTATTTTCATTGACTTTGACATTTAATAAGCAATATTTCTGTTTTAGAGTTCTGTTCTACAACTTTTATTAAATGAATTGAAAACGACAAGCGGTCGCGTCAGTCTCAGTGGACCAATATCCTATGCTTCTCAAGAACCTTGGCTCTTCGTTACAACTGTTCGACAGAATATACTGTTTGGTTTACCTTACGATGCAAAGAAGTACAAAGAGGTAGGTACATTTAATTTAATTAGTACCTAATTATGTGTATTTACTACCTACTTTTTGAAAGAAATACGTATTAGAGTTTTACTTTAATATTAATTATCTTATCAATTTATAATTATATACATAAAGTACCTACCTATAGACGATATGCATTAAATTAACATTGTCACAAATGCTTATTAATAATTAATTATTTAATTACAGCTAGAAGTAGTGCAATTGACATGAATCTAATCAGTTTCACAACTTTTATTAAAAAGGGAGGGAAGCCTTCTGTAATCTGTAGATAATCTATTTTTATCGCTAATAATTCATTTTTGTCCTGGCGGTTGTTAAGTTTTAGCAATAACTTACTACAAAAAAATCTGATATGAGCTAGTAGGTAAACGTTAATTTAGCTATAAGTACTTTTATATTTTACTATCTAATGAAGACTTCTGTATTAATTAATAAGATGGAATGTCTATAAAATACTTTGCAATATAAAATACTTATAATTTATTTGCTAAAACAACAAATTTTCTGCTACAGATAATACAAACGGCCAATTTTTTTGTCCAAAGGTGGTGAAAGTTTGTGCACTGCTTAAAGATTTCCAACAATTTCCGCATGGTGATCAAACTCTGGTCGGTGAAAGAGGGGCGTCCCTTTCGGGCGGTCAGAGAGCACGTATAAATCTCGCCCGAGCGGTTTACAGACAAGTAAGTACATATCTACGCAACGTATATGTTTATTGGTGTTATATCAATATTTACCGTCCTATTAGATTTCCATTCATGTAAAAAATCAAGTTAACTACCCAGCGGCGTCGCCAACTTGGCACTATATACAGTTATGTACGACTGCTATATCATATTAAACCCTCGTCTCATGACTCATAGGTTTATGTTTCATTAATACTTCTGTACAGTGTATATTTCTTAGTCATATATGTCTCTAGGAATAAACAACGCAAGAACCTCATTTACATGCCATTTACTGACCTTGCCTTGATATTAAATCTATTTATTTAACAGCAAACTCCCTCATGTTGTAAAATACGTCGGAAGTAAAACTTTCCTTCCAAGATAGAATTCGGATAAGTCTATCTAAGAATTCCAAATCAAATTTTGTTACATTCAATTAGGCGTCACCGCCTGAATAAAATAATTGAGTTGATCTTCCATATCTCTAAATATAATATAATATGTGTGAGCATTAAACTTATCCTGCTTTTTAACACACAGGAACATAATTTTTATTGCATAACGTTATAGCTTTTAATAATAAATAAAAAGAAAAATATATATGCTTTAGAGAATTAGTCCACATTTTGCGATACACAAATATTATAACAATATTAAGCTAGAGTGAAAGGTACTCGTAGTGAAGGTGAACATATTAAGATATAGCGATAGCATATAGGACTCTTTTTTTTACTCTTTTCTTTCATATCGTATTACAATGTATTTTTTTCTAATAAACTTTAATAAACTATTTTTGCACTGTTAATAAAAAAATCCTGCAGCAAAAGCTCAATACAATAACATATTCAGGATATTGATGGAACTATTAGGATTTAGCTGTACAGAGAAATTATTCACGTATATTGTCGATGTCATATTGTACTATTGATATACTATTTGTATACTGCAATACGATACCAACAATTTCCCGAACATAATTGTGTGCTGTTTAAACTGAGAATATGCCTAAAATAAACTGTTGATAGACTCAATTTATTTTATGTGAAATAGATCTGTCTATTGGAAACAGGACAGATAACTTTTCTAATACCACAGATAAGATAATATTAGATACTAATAAAATACTAACTTTATTTTATAAATATAATAATAATAAAAAGAATTATTTTGTAAGTAAATAAATTAATAATAATGTATTGCAGGCCGACATTTATCTGCTGGACGACCCGCTGTCCGCGGTGGACGCTCACGTGGGCCGCCAACTGTTCGACGAATGCATAAACGGGTATCTGCGACACACCACCCGCCTGCTTATCACACACCAACTGCATTATCTCAAGGCAGCCGATTACATAGTCATCATGAATAATGTATTAACTTTATTTGCCTTATAAACCTGTAGTTTATATCCGCATTTTATAGATAATGTTCATTGAAAAAAACATTAAACGTTAATTTAAATTTGAATAAACACGAACTGTAATGTAGATTAGTAGAATACTAGTAGATATTATTTCAGTCTCTTTTAAATGTCATTGAAAGACAGAAAGGTTCTGTCTTTATACTTATTGCATTCGAAATGAAGAGAAATCATAACATGTAATGTAACTGTACGTTTATTAAGTTTTATTTATACGCGGAAATTCACAGTAGAGTTGTTTGTTTATGAATAAATAATCTGAGAAAGAGAAAAAGTGTATTATGCATTGTTATAGGGCGTCGTGGAAGCTAGCGGCACATATAATGAACTTGCGACATCGGGCAAAGATTTTGCTAAACTACTATCGGCATCTCACGATGAAAATGAGGAAAATAATGATGAACTTGTTCCGCCAATATCTAGAAGGACATCGGCCAGAGTTAGTACATAGCAAGACGATGATAACACTTGTATATCCGATCTAAAAATTAAATTATTTAAGAAATATGACATCTATAAAATGAATGCAAACTTATTGACTATAAGGATCAGAACTTATATTTTAATTTAATCTATAGAACATCCAGATTAAAAAAAATCATAGATCATTATTGATTTTTAAACGCTAATAAATCCTCAAGAATGGTAATAAGTAACGGGTCTACGGGACTACAGGGCTTAAAAACACTTTATACCCGTGTATAGTATTGTGCTTGATTCTGTCAATACCTTTTCCATGAGTAGACCAATAGTTTCCTTTTTTTTTTTAATTGGTGTGTCAAACAACAAACAACACGGCTCACCTGATGGTATGTAGTAGGCATCTCATATATGTATACATGAAGTGCGTGATATCTGTAGAGCTAATATCACGTCTCTGTTCTTTATGTTACTCATGCATTTTTATTCCGAAGAGTTAAGATCTCATGTCTCTATAGTACCCTGTAAATTCTTTTTCCTTCAACTGAAACACATGTCTCATAACTAGCTGCTTAACGACTGTAATAGTCAGAAAAATATACACACGCAGGTGACATTGTATAAAATTTATCTCGGTAAACTGAATACTGTATGTGTATATGTATATATGTTTATGTGTATTTATGTATTTATATTTTGTTGTTATTATTTATGCTTCTATTAAAATTATTAATAGATTTACTATTATTTCTTGTACTATATTTTTATATATATTGCTTTTCGACGCGTATTTTCTTATTGTACTTGTATCCACCACTCCACAATTCCTTTCAGCCACTCAAAGGTTGACTGGAAGAAATTCCTCTTTTGGGATAAGTCCGCCATTGTACCATCTATTTATTTTTTAAGACATATGTATCTATTAATATTTCGTACAATAAAGAATTACAAACAAACAAACTTCTTTCCATAAAAAAAACTGAACTGGTACATGATAAATATACTTTATGAAGAAAGACTACTATGTAGGTAGATGTATGCGCTTCCGTGGCGGAATGCCTTCGCCATCGTCAGGGTCAGAGACACATTTTAGATTTAGTTGTAGTTATTTTATATGTGCGTACATACGTAGTCTATGCAGATATTATATTTTTCTTTATATAAATAATAATATGATTATATTGTCTGAATTAAAATAAATAAATTTATCATATGTTACAGTTATCAACTACAAGACGGCCATCTCTGACGGAGTCCACATGCGAGGTGCCGGCGCAGGAGATGGAAGAGGAGCAGCGTGAATCTGGCTCAATGAGTTGGCGTGTGTACAATGCATACTTGAGGGCTGGAGGGCGAACGGGACGGCTGATATTCATGTTCACACTGTTAGTTATAGGACAGCTGTCTGCGACTCTCTGCGATTATTGGGTGACTTTCTGGTAAGTCCCGTTTAAATTAAGTAATATCTATACTGCTTAAAAATTATACATAATTAGCTTAAATTATGAAGAGTCCCATTATTATATTTTTATCAATAAATATTGATAAGAAAATATTAATAGGAATATTTGTACTATTATATAGTATAAAAGAGCCTTAAACAATTTATTTTCATTTATTTGAAATATTGAAATCAAATACCCATAGCATAACTATTAATTATTATTAGTTATTAGATATTTATAAATTACGATAAAAACGTCTTAAAAAGACCATCTAAATTTAATTAATGGAATAAATTTTCCAATGATTCAAGTTACGAAATCTATCTCCAAATACTGTGTTCAATTACTCGGGGTCAATGTGACTTTTTATCAGTAAAAGAATTTTCAAAATCAGTTCAATACTTCCAGAGCTGATACCACCCATTTACATAATTATAACATATATTCATTTTATACTATAGTTAAACGGCACGTAGAATAAATTTGCTATTTAATAAATGCACTCAACTTTGCAGGACAAATCAGGTCACAAGGATGAAAGAAAAAGAAACCAACACTACAAGTAAAGATTATGACCGCCTGATCTCAGCACAAAATACCACATTCGACGTTTCTACATATTTCTCCGGAATTGAACTCCGATCTAGTATGTTCTATACCTACCTATCTTAATAAATTAATGAAATGAATTAATTGTTGTTGTACATTATGTACCTAACATAAAAACATGTTTACAAATTCTGATTATTTTTAGATTTGGATATTCATGCATACATCGGACCATTGGATACAGCACAATATTTGTACGTGTACACAGCTCTTATAATCTGCTGCATCTTCTTCATCACCGCCCGAGCTTTCATGTTCTTCAAGGTGTGCATGACAGCCTCCCGTAATTTACACAACAACATGTTCCACTCGATGCTTCGAGGCGTGATGCGATTCTTCGATACCAATTCTTCAGGTACACCTTTTAAACTTCATCGCTTAAAATCGCCTTAAAACAAACTGAATAGGTGTATATTAGATACGCGGTACATTCATGTTTAAACCTACGTTACTAAGGTTATTTCGTTTATTTTAACACAATTAAGTCTAGTCCCTTACATAAATCTAAAACAATTATAATAGATATTGTAAATAATAATATAATATAACATAATAAAAGTCATTTTCAAGAGAAAAACCTTTTTGGTGAGAGTATGACTAATAATGATTGCATTATCCCGGTAAATAATCATTAGATATCTTATATATAAAATTCTCGTGTCACAATGTTAGTTTCCATCAGAAATCATCAGAAATGGCTTAACCGATTTTTATAAAATTTTACATGCATGTTCAGTTGGTCTGAGAATCGGCTACTATCTATTTTTTATACTTCTAAGTGATAAGGGATGTCCACCCTTAACATTTTTTGGACAAATTTTTTATTTATATTTTTTTATTACGTGTCATTAAAAAATACATACAACCCTAAATTTTCACCCTTCTATCACCAACCCCAATTTTTTTATCACGTTATTAATTTATATGGCAAAACAACGTTTGCCGGGACAGCTAGAATATATAATATATAGTTTCATGTAATCGTAGTTAAGTTACAAAAGTGAAATTACAATCAGAAAAATCTATATTATCTATATAGATTTTGTTGATTTCCCTCACTGAGAAAATTATCTATAATTTATCAAATATTTATAATCATCTAAAAGAAAATATATTGTATAATTTTTTTAAATATACAAACTTATCTACTCACCGCTATGTTATTTGGGAAAAGAAGCCTCTGAATAAAATGTGCTTCGTTATTCATTAATTACAACGTTTTTGCATACATATCTCCAGGTCGGATACTCAATAGATTCTCAAAGGACATCGGTGCACTTGACGAGCTCCTGCCACGGTTTCTTCTGGAATGTATACAAATATACTTGGTCATGTTCAGTATACTGGCGTTGAATGCAGCTGCACTTGTGTGGACATTATTACCGACTACTATCATCCTACTACTTTTCTATACCATTCTACAAATCTACTTAAAGTCTGCTCACTCCATTAAACGATTGGAAGGAACTAGTAAGTATCTAAAAGCTTTCCATATTGTAAGAAATCAACATCAATATAATTTACTACCCCTATCCGTTAACTTTTACCTCTTCATTTTTTAAACATCTATCATGTAGACACAATTAACTAATCAAAACAATAGTAGACTAGGCCTATATTTTAGTTTTGACTATCGCTCTCTCAAGTATAATCGTACACATAGTAATTTATATACATAATCGATCAATTTTCCTAATATAATAATATTATATTATTGAATTAGATATTTTGTTGTGGAAGTCTATTTCATTACCTAATGGGTTTACATTATTTTGTTTAATTCCGTTACCATTAGCATGCGTTGGACCTCAAATATTAATTACGAAAACCTGACCACCTGCTACTGGAAGCGTTACGACCCTCTCTATTAATGATTCAATTCCGACCGTTATTCAATCTACAACCATATTGTAACACGTGTTTCGCCTCTGAATGAGGCATCATCAGGTAATGAATAGAGCTCGGATATTGGAAGTCTGGCGTTGACTTCGCCGAACAGCCAACACTGGGCTTCCTTACAATATAAATCCATTAAGTTATAATAATAAGACCTACGTTTAAAATAATAATAGATTTATGTTTAATTATAAATTATTTTTTTATTTTCCTATCAAAGTTACAATATAAAAATGTGTCATTCAAATGTAAGATATTTCAATTTAATATTAAAATAATATATTTTATTAGATACAATAATATGACGACAATTACCTAACGACATGGCAAAGTTATTCCATAAAAATGTGTAGGTTAGTTGGTATGTTAACCAAAATCTTTAAATTTAATTACCTAGGTACCTTAAGTTATATTAAAATATTCGCCAATATTTTAATATAACTTAAGGTTATTAATTTTAAATTCCAAATATAATGGATACGAGAATTTAATATTAAATTATTAATGTCGTTTTTTGTATACTTACAGCACGAAGTCCCGTATTCTCACATATGTCTGCAACACTCAACGGCATCAGCACCATAAGATCGGCAGGTGCGCAGAAGAGACTTATTGAAGATTTCGACAAATTTCAGGTAAATAACCTAAATATTTTTTATTTTTTATGTAACTATAGTAAGCTTGTTCTGACCGATCAGTTGGCCTAATCGTAGGTGACTACATGAACAACACCATACCATAATAATTTGAAGCTCGTGCGCTCTCATGCGTTTGCTATTTCGTTGCATCAAAAATCATAATAATATATCCAAACCCTGTAATTTCACTGCCTTACCTACTCTATAAAACAAACACATCATACAAAGGAAACTGCTTGGCGGAAGCGATATATGAAATAGGTGTCCCTGATGACGATTTTATATAAAGTCGATATATTCAAGCAAATCTCACACCCAGTTTGATGCGAATTTCAATAATACAGTTTTAATACTAATGGGTACTATAAAACTAATGATATATATAAATATTACTGGACTATGCTTTAATTTAACGAGCTACAATGTACGAGCAAAATTTAGTACCCGAAATATCTACTCGGATTATGTTCATCATTAGAACCGATACTTACTCGCTACCGTATAATACTGAATGCATATATCTATGCAAGAGAAATGCAAAACTCTGCTCTGTTTGTTCATGCCATTAATGAAATACAAACTCAATTATTAGATGCCTATAGTATTCGGTTGTAGATGTAGCTCATGAAACAATGCGTAGAATATATTTAATCCTCGGAGTCGGGTATATATAATCAATTAGTACCTAGAGATTTTAATTCTACAGAGTAATGCTGAGTGGAAGCATAAGAATAATGAAATCTATACATTATTTTTTGTTTAGTTTATGTCGAAAAACATTGACTGTGTTTTATTCTTAATGGCTATAATTTTTATTTTATTTCTTATAGGACATCCACTCATCGACGTGGAGCAGTTACCTATCGAGTGGTGTTACGCTCGGCTTCTGGCTCGATTTCATCTGCGTGTTGTACCTGGCTATAGTCATCGTCGCCTTCCTCGTTATTGATAGCAGTAAGACTTTATTTCTGCTATAAGTGTTGTCACTCTTTATTTAGTATTTAATTACTCGAATGGCAAAACTATACTGTGGTGAAACTACACCAACAAATTTACTAATAAGTTACAATATCAAGAGTATGTGTAGTAGTCAAATATCAAATATTTAAAGGCAATTGCTTGAGTTAATTTTAGTCAGTATTAGCATTCTTGTTCTAGGTATTAATATTTATATTTTTTGCCACAATGAGAGGAACGTAATCTATATAATAATACTAAGTATCTGTAGACAACAAGTAAGCTTTACATAACTTACGTTACGTACGTTAAATCATCAGATAGATTCATCTACTTGGATGAATCTTTTTTTTTTAAAGTGATTTATCACAACGCGAAATGAAAAGTGATAACTTAAAGTTAAATCATTTATACAGAAACAATATTCTCTGGCAACGTGGGACTAGCGATATCGCAGACCTTGATCCTGACGGGTATGTTGCAATTCGGTGTGAGACAGACCGCCGAGGTAATCTCGCAGATGACCAGCGTCGAACGCATTCTGCAGTACACACACATCGAGAGGGAACCGCAGTGGGATAAAGGATGTTAGTAGTTATTTTTTTGTCTCTCTTTTACAATCTTAATCTTAAGAATATTATAAACGCGAAAATTTGTAAGTACGAATGTTTGTTACTATTTCACGCAAAAACTACTGAATTAATTTTAATGAAACTTTACAGTTAAAGCATCAGAATAACACATAGGCTATATTTTATATAAAAAAAAAAGTTAACGCGGATGAAACTGCGAGGCATAGCTAGTACATAATAAGTTCGTCTGTTCTGAGTTGATTTCGATTATTTTATTTTTAGTAGAAAGTTTGTCGGGTGTAAACTCTTGTCTTATCAGAACCTTCCGTGCCATGCAGTGGAACACGCGTACAGATGAATTATATAATTATATATATATATTGCCGTATTAATAATTACAATAGAAAAATGCATATATGTATTTCTAACAGTTATGCTGCTTTAGTTTGGAAATATACTATAGATAGCATTTGATAATTTTACTGTAATATTTACAAAATTTTTTGTATTTAAAACAATAATTATTTTTCAGCACAAGAAATACCTAAGGGTTGGCCGTCTAGGGGACGTCTCGAGTTCCGTAACTGCTATATGAAATATTCACCTGAAGCCTTACCTGTCCTTAAAAATCTGAACTTAGTTATTGAAAGCGGTTGGAAGGTAAGACCTAAACGCTAGCAAACACTTATCTATGTAGTGTACACTCTGTGTAAAGTTGTTTTAACTTGAGTCTTTACATAACTATATGGCAGAAGTACATTGCAAGCTGTTGAGGTTGTAAAGTGAAATACGGCAGTGAAGTTACAAGGTACGGAAGCATGACACCTTAGTCCTCCGGAATTGCAACACGTGAGAGGTTACGGGCGTTATATCATGAAATAAAATATGGAGTAATGTTGGAATAAAATCAAATTAAATGCATCTTTTAAACTTTTGATGTATCCTCACTCTGCTCGTGTTGGGCGTGTTGGAATACAGTGAACTACGTACGCAGGGCTCTCGTCTCATATTTAACGTGTTTCGATGTAAAATGAGTAATACTATTGTGTCAGTTGCGGTTACATCTGAAAATTACTCAACACATTAGCACGTCATGAATGCAATCCAACACAGCTATTGGATAGCATTGTCACAAGCTGAATTGAGTGGCTTACTCTCCAAACAATTGAACACAAAGTTAATATCGGAATACAAATGATATCACCTGATGCTCAAAGCGATGCGATTCTATTTAATTATATTGTGGATAACCATTAATTTGTTAAAGAATATCGTAATTGGCAAAATTGACATTGTCAAAATAGTGGTAACTATATTAACATCAGCTATATATTGTGCCTTTATTTACGGTCAAGACGGCACTCTATTTGTCTCTAACACTAAAAGAAAAGAAAAAGTAATAATTCGAATCTTGTCATTCTCAAAAATCTAATTTCAGTCTTATTATTCTACTGGCTCTTTATAAGAGGGAAAAATTTGCAAGCAAATTTTTCCCTCTTATAAAGAGCAAGAACATATTACATTATGAAGAATGTGAAGTTATAAAATACATTCGAGCAAGAATGTATTGTATGATAGCTAGTACATTATTTTAAGCGAACCGGCCACTAGTAATTCATAATTCACGAGCAAGTAGACATCAAATACTATTCGAAAAGATAATGTAAAGATAAATCTGTATTTCTCTATTTGCAGGTTGGTATAGTGGGCAGGACCGGCGCTGGTAAATCTTCCCTAATCTCTTCGCTATTCCGCCTCGCCATTGTCGAGGGAGAGGTACTCATTGACGACGTCGAGACTGGGGCATTGTCATTACAGGTAACCAATACCTAAATTTGTTAAATAAGAATATATAGCCAGTGTTTATTTTTTTAAGATACAAGATAACCAGATAAATATGTGGTAGAGAATAAAAAATCATTAATTAGTTGTATATATTCGTGATTCTTCGCGTCTTATTAAGATCTTATTTGCCATATAATCCTATAATAAATAAAATAAACAAAAAGACTATATCAGATACATCGCATTTAAATATTACTGCAGATAAACGTAATTGCTTATAAATATTGACAGGGATTGCGATCCAAGATATCAATAATACCACAAGAGCCAGTGCTATTTTCCGCCTCAGTCCGGTACAACCTGGACCCCTTCAACAACTACGACGACCAAGAGCTGTGGCAAGCACTTGAAGCTGTAAGTAGTTTCTAAATACACAATTACTTAGATACACGAGACTTTTTTGAAAAACAGGATTGAAAACCTCGGTGTGTACCTGTTATTATTTATTTTTAGTATTTTTACACTTGCATGTTTGATTGTATTTTAAAAGATTTTTGTCAATTTGCATTTATATTTCTATATATTATATATTTTACCAAATTCTATAGAAAGCCTATTAATGGACATTTCGGATTTGAAAGCTAAAACTTCTTTGTTTAATATTCACCAAATCCTTTTAAAACAACCTACAATATAATTTTTTAAATTAAAACATATGAATTTTTAACATGTTTCATATTTAAATTATTCATTTGTTAGTTTTATATTTCCATTCATTTTTAAGTATGTACGTTGTACGGTCGTATAATAAAATAAATATATCAGATGCATTTGCTTACATTAAAAAAAATGTCATGAATTAAAAAATATTTAAATTATCTTTATTTGATTTTATTATGTCGCAACATATACTTTATTATAGCATACTATTGTATTATATATTACATAGCATATATACCTATACTTTTTTAACTAACGACAATATAAACTATCTAAAACTTGCGAAACAGATAAATTTTTACTTTGATGTTTCTCGTTCGGGAATGTTAATGCTACAAAAATACAACATTACCACAACGATATTATTACAGGTGGACCTAAAAGCGGCAGTGCCAGCACTAGACTTTAAAGTGTCAGAAGGCGGCTCTAACTTCTCATTAGGACAGCGGCAATTGGTGTGCCTCGCGAGAGCCATACTGCGCGGTAACCGCATACTTGTGCTGGACGAGGCCACGGCCAACGTAGACCCCAAGTCAGTACAATAGCAATATTTAGTCATACTAATATTGTTTTTATGTTTACAAAGCTATACAATGTAAACATGAAAACACGCTTTGACCTCTTATAACTGTATTCATGAGTATAATTGTTTGTATCGCTCTGGGTGTTTTCCTGGTATATTATTCATGTAATTACAAATATATACATATATCTATGTATTTATATCAGTTGTCTAGAACCCATTACACAAGCTCTGCTTATCTTGGGATTAGATGGCGTTATGTGAATGAAAACTACTGAAGATTACCTGTAGGATTACTGAAGTCTATAATCTAAAAATCTTGTCTGTTTACAGAACTGATGAATTTATCCAAAGAACAATAAGGAAACGTTTCGCGGACTGCACCGTCCTGACGGTGGCGCACCGACTCAACACTATCATGGACTCGGACCGCGTGATGGTGATGGACGCAGGGAAACTCGTCGAATTCGACCATCCTTATAATTTGCTCAACAAACCCGACGGCTACTTTACCAAAATGGTCAACGAGACCAATGAGAAAATGTCAACTCAGCTTTACCAAATCGCGAAAAACACGTACCTCAACAATGGCGGCGTGATAGAGTAGTCTAAGTTAATTAAGTATAGTTTAAGTCGTCGTCTTCTCGGTTAGGTCGCTAAACACGAGTGATATAACTTCCAAGAGTACATATACCTACGGACAAACAGTAGCACACCTGTGTAGAATGATAATCACTTTATCTCAGTGAAATATTGTTTTTTCATATTGTATGTTCCTGTTTATAACGAAAACATGGTGAAATTTGAATAAATAATGATAATATTGATACTGATTATATTATAATCAACTCAACGACAACTACGTATTGTAAACAGATATTATCTATTGATTTCAGTCAGCGTTATAATATGAACTTCAATGTCGAACGTGAAACTAATGTATTCATATATTCTTAAATTATTAGATAAGATAAATACAATAGATGGGTGATACCCACATTAATTTGTATTTTTATAATTACCATTACTCTTTAAACCTCAAATAAGATTTTTATTCCAAACCCAACTAGAAAATGTATAAATTAGACGTATTAATAATGTAAGTTAGAATGATGAATTTATTTATTTTTTAACGTATAATTTGTGTTTCGTCAACTGTTTTCTTTGAAAATCAGCAGTTTGATTGCCATAGAGGTTATCCTCGGTAAAATATAAATACCTAAACTATAAGAGCTCTTTTTTTTATCCTTATGTTCAGTTACTGGTTGAGGTGACCTTAATTATAAAACACGCCAATAAATTAAAACAAAAATACATGAGGTTATGAATAAGTGTCATCTAAAAAAATTTCTGGTAAAAATCTGTAAACTCTACCTACAAACAACGCTCCTACCCTCATGTAGGGGCGTTGTTTACATCTTAATCTAATGTATCTAAAGCCTAGTTATGAGCCCCGTAAACATAATATTATAATTATAATATTCCAATTGACAATTGAATATTATAAATAGATCAGTTAAGCAATGTGCTATGTTGTGGTTAGAATATTACTCGCTAGTTTTGTTTTCATTGCTTATCTTCAATTCTTTAATAGAAGTATATAAAAAATAAATTATTATACCTATATTTAAAGATTACTGTGATATAAACTTGCGGGGACTCACTATCTCTAATGTTTTTAGTAATATTTTTGATTTTGTTTAATAACAAGATAAATGGTGCTTTCATTTCCTAGTTTAATCCATTTAATCCTAATTATCTTTGTTAATTTCTGCTGTGTATGATAATATTGACGTAAGTACCTACCTACAAGAGGGAGACGGTTGTAAATAGTGTGTCATAGTATACTAATCATAACGTGTCACAAATACCACAAGCAAAATTAAATGCAATCTTGGAAAATTAGATAATTAGAGCGGGAGCATGCAATCAGACAGTTGGCATATTATCAAGTTAATTCTTATGCAAATTAAGTTGGACATTAGAGGCCACCCATTAATTATATCACATGTAAAGGGTGAAAGGAGGCGACAAATTATGACGTTGTGTGATCGGGGTTCCTCACCTATCTAGAAGACCAAAATTTCCTGGTAGCACTTTGCCCAGAGGCTAAGTATGGCCATTCAAAGAGGCAACGCTGCCAGTGTCATGGGTACGCTACCTCGATGGTGCCGCGTTGGATTATAATTATTGTTTGTACTCGATATAGTAAAAAAAATCATGAAGTAATTTAAAAATCTAATAGGTATGTATATCTAAATATTTAAACACATTTGAACAATAGTTTGAATTTTAAATTATGTGATATCACACCGTGGCGGTAGTGGCATCTTTTTATAGCACAGAGGATAATGAAGGTTAATCTACCATGGAACATTGCTAGCTAGCATTAGCTACTAGTCTACATTATTAACAATCCAGTTTTCTACAATATTGTTTTAGTAGATGAGGAACTACGTTCTCGCTTCCAGGTGACTTTGAAAATTAATTGGGCTCCTTAGCATAAAAATAAAATAAGACAATATTATTTTTTCAGAACTTTATTCATCTTAAATAATAATAAACATCTACTTTTTTGTATATATATATATATATGTAGGTATACAATTCTAATTTTTCAATTAAAAGATTCAATAAATTGGATTACATTCCTAATATTCCTGTTGATTTCAGTGAGGCCCTCGTTGATGGCGTTGCGAATATTAATTTCTACAACCTTTATTATAGTTGTATCAAAGATCCTCGTGAATGTACGGATAACGGGGTTCACCAACCAGTCGGTCAATATGTTACCAGTCAAACGGACGCGAAGACGGCTGAAATAGTATATTTCAAATTTTATTGATATAAAATATCTTTGTTAGAACTTCTTTCACACATTATCAGTATTCAATATTGGATTTTTATCTATTCTTTTTTTATTACCTAACAAGGTTCGGTAATTACTCACTCCTAATTTAAGAGAAAATACATATACATACATACTACTAAAAATAAGTTATACTCGTATATTAAATTACTAAAATCTTATTCATAATACATTTATGAAGATTGATTAAATGACAATGAAAAACAAGATTACTAGCCACTTAACAAAGGTGATAATGTTTTATCTACTACAATCAATGAAATATGTAATAATCAATTAAACATGTGACATGACAAAATTCAAAGGATAATGCTGTCATTATTCTCTGTTGTATTGTCACATTATTGCTTATAAGTTTTGTATGTAGTAATTAATCGTATCGTAATAACAATTAGGTATTATTTATTCCTATTTCTGTACTAATATACCTACTTGTATTATACGGAAGTATGCTTAAGGCTCGGTGGTTCTTATATAGTCGTAAAATGAATAGGTACAAAAATATTACAAGAAAGGCATTATCCAGATTTTTTACCATCACAGTACCTATATGTTAAATCGGAATCGCTTTTTACACTGTTATGGTTTTTTTGTAAACATCTAATTATAACTAGGTAGATGTATTTAAGTGTTTACAAAGGAAAGGAACTGAAAAAATATATTTGTAATCTCTTTATATTTAGAACTTAATAATACCTATAGCGACAAGACCGCCTTTTGTTATAACATTTCTATATACTCATAAAGAGTTTATTATTATTGTTATCATCAATATATTTTTTTATACTTTTATGCGTCAAAATTGTGTATACTTAATAAAATAAAAAGAAAGGAGTCGAAAAAATTGTAGATCCTAAGTACTTTACAATATTCACTATTGTTACCTAGCCTATATTAAAAATATAACATTTTATTAAATTATTTATTATCTAATACAAAGTCTAGTGTGTGTTTGACGACCTCAGTGGTTTAGCGATTTTGCACACCCCTTTACTTCCGATGATCGCGGGTTCGATTCCTCGACGGTTCCTGAATATTATTTTTATAACGGTCTAGGTTCTATGTATAGGTAATATTTATATAATTACAAAATATATCTTTTTATATTAGTTGTCTAGTAACCATAACAAAAGTTCTGCTTGGGTTAGGACTAGATAATATTATTATTATTTTTCAGAAAATACAAGTATTATTACATACCCAATATCTGTGAGAGAGAACTGTTGAAGATGTATTTCGTCGTTGTTGAAATCAATGAGCAGATCCACAATGACCACAAAACGGTTGAGGGAACCTACGATACCTCCAGTAGGGCCGATGTTCATAACTTTAACCAGGTATTTGTACACGAACTAAAATATAATAATGTGATTATTGAATCCTGATGTAAATACCTATGTAATTAGTAAAACCGTGGCATAAATGGTCCTGTCCACATACCTCTAAGTTCCTAAACTGCAACTGAACGCGTACACGAACCATCTTGGCGAAATAATTAATTGTCTGGTCACCAGAGCGGTCCACGTTAGTCAAGCCCGTCATATACCCATCATGGATCTTTAGCCAAGCACTGTAGGTGATCAAAACTGGCCTCTACAATAATACAAGGAAACATATTTGAGCAGGAGTACACTATAAAACGAATTTGATTTTCGCTATTACTTTAAATATAAAATTATTCGTAGATAATAATTATGAAAATTACACATTTACCACTTCAAATCCTTCAACAACGTCCGGTAGTTCCATGGGATCAAGACCGTTTTCTTGAATGAAAGGTACGAGCAAAGATATCGTATTATCCACATAGTCGTTTATGATAGCGTTCAACCCCAAGCTGCGACTTTCACTGTAATGATTAAATTTAGAGAAACATTATTAAAATGCCAATTTTCTTATATAATTTGGCAAATGAATTACGAGTATGCACTATAATTCCTATATAGTAAAACGATACATCCCTATAGATATATTAAGGCGGTAGGTGCCAATTCGTTTTCAATGTAGACAAATTATTGGGATACTGCCTTACTGCCATTTACTTTTCTTGACAAATATTTTTTAGATACCTGAAAACTAATGGTTCTTTTATCGTTCGTTAAAACATACAGACCACCTTCTTTTGTTTCGGTCTAATGGGCTGAATTCGATATTTAATTATACTGACATACCTGCATATCACCAGTACTGATATTACTGTACCTACACTATGTGCGGTATAGGAACCTCATAATATGTCCACCTCCAAGCTTTTAAGTAAACGATTCTTGTCTCTGAGCTAAGTACTTTTTGTTATAGGAATATCCAGCAGCTCTAATTTGTGGTCTCATATTAGGCATAAGTATTAAATTATGTACGTACAAAAGCTTATACTTTTACGGCGTTATAATTTATCATATAGGTAAATGAATAATATTCATGAGATAATCCAAAACAAATTCAATAGAAATTATTTAACGTAATATAATTAAATTGAAAATGTAACCTTTTAAAATCGTACAGAAGATATAGTTAGGTACTTACTCATCGTTCAATAGTTTAGAAACAAGTCCGCCTTTGAGTTGTTCCGCCTGGACGGCAGTCACTAGGAGGGCGATCACCACACCAATATATTTACTCATTTTAACTTGAACTCGTAGTCAACACTCAGGTTAGCTAACATATTTTCAATTATATATAATACGTTGATCTAGAGATAGAACTGATATTAAAATTCTTATCAAAAATGTTTTTTTCAAATCAACGTGGATCTTACTATAATTCTAATCATAATTAATTTGTTTACACTAGCCTCCTTCTGATTTGATTATTTCATCATTAAAACTACGTAGGTACCTACTTATTTTTCATTCACAAATAATATAAAGGTGGCAGGCAAATTTCAAATTTAAATGCTCAAATTTTGTTATGTACATTTTTCTATATAAAACCAAATAAAACTTTTAAAATTGTAATATTTGGGTATATATACTACTGCTGCGCTAATACACTTACTAAAATAAATACATATACGACGTAACAGTGTCCTGAGTATGCTGAGCAACAACTTAATTGATAGGTACCTGAAGGTCGCTCACATTGCAATTTCCGTAGACCCTCACTAATAGATTATACTTATTTTATAGATAAAGCAACAAGTTTTTTATTTAAACATAATGTGCAAGAGCACAGTGCGTTGTGAAATACATAGAACGGGCAGCTAAAGGAATTTCCAAGATCTGCAGGATCTGTAAAGTATAAGTGAAATCACTAGTATTCTAAGCATCAATAGGTAACCTATACTATTAAATAGATCATAGGTGTGATTCATTTCCGTCATGGTTGTATACTAGGTATATATACTTATCTATCTACCGAGATAAGGTAGACACCAATACAAATACCAAGAAAACTTTACCACCTATAAAACTGTCAAGTTGATGTAAGTAGTTGAAACTGAGAACAAAGATTTCAAACATCATTTCCACGTCGTGGTACCTAATCTCTAAGTCTCTATTTCTGCATAAAACAAATAGAGAAATATGAATTACCTTTTTAAACACATGAAAAAATTTCCACCGACCAAAAATGAGTTTCATTTATAAATTTACATATAACCCATTCGACTATCTAGTATATACGTAGTAATGATTAATATTGTTTATCGTGTCTTAATATCTATCAACAAACGGTAAATAAATATTTATATATAGGTATACCTTAATCTGCGTTTATCTAAAAGTAAAAACCAAAACAGAATTTACTTTAAGTAATTTATATACCACAAATAAATTCGTTTTTATGCTGTTTTACCTCCATTACCTTCGATACCTGCAAAATGGGATTTAGCTTAAGCTCAACAAGCAGGTATACGATCAAAATACTTATGCGTAACACTAATCGAAATGTGACACACTTCCGATCTTTAGAAAATAAGTGACCTCTGGCGGTTCTGGGATCTTGTACTTACTAATGGAATTAATATTTACTCACAAGTTATTAACTTATATACCTTGAATTTACACTATAATATGTACATATGGAGCAAGGGGAATGCTAGTATGTGCCCATGCAAATGTACCACCTCAGGTCAACTTTCAGTCAGTTTGCCCTAGAAACCATTGTGATAAATTTCGGGCTAATTTAATGGTAATTAATAACATATTGCCCTGCAGTGGTGACCCACCAGGTTGAACAGCCTGATAACAGCTAGACGAAGGCGGACACATCATACCATTATCGTCCATTAAAATTAAAAATCTATGTGAGTAATTAAGTATAACAGCCGAACAGCCTTCTTAGAGACCATGGATTAACAGTGCGGGAGCCGGTTCCAACGTATAACAGAAAGGGACAGGGACTTGTGATCCGGGTACAGACTTAAGGGACACTAAGTAACAGAGTGTCTTAGTAGGCTTTGATTATATTAATGTGTGTTATAATTAAGTGATACCTGTGCAGGTGGTGGTGCACGTAGGTGACGGCCACGCCGCCCGCGCTGATGGCCCGTCGAGATTAAATAATCTCTCCCACCACCAATAAAAATAATTTCCAATGATTCTATCAATAATTGATGCTACAATAATATGTTATTTTGGTTATTGTTTATTACAATTTGTAACTATGATGTAATTAAAATTTAAACAATTATTTGATAAAAAATATATATTCAATGTCATGACCATAGCCCACTTTAAATAAATTATTTTTACAGAATAACAATAAAACTAACATCCCATCCCATCCACCTTATTCGAGAATAAATACAACAATATGTAATTTAAAATTACAAGAATCATACCAACATAAAAATAAGCATTTTATAAATGAATGACGACTATTATTGCATTTGCATATTTGGTACCCAGCAAAGCGGTAGGTTGGTATTTTAATAAATTTTAATATAATATAACACACATAATAGTGAAATAAACTTAATAATAATAATCTGTTATTTTTATATCTTTCGCTTAAAGAATGACAGTGTCCAAAAACGTACTGCAAATAAAGACAATTACAAAAGTAATGACATGTTTACATGTACACGTCTTATATTTGTTATAAATACATTAATTTTACAACATTGGTTCCTGAAATTTTAATCATGACACTGCTTTGGTGTGTGACACTTTATAATGAAAATTAAACTTCAAAAATGTTCTTTATGATTTAGTAAATGTTAAATAAATAATTAGTTCTAAATATAGTTTACGTATATTTATAAAATGCATAACAAATTAAGAAAGTTATAGCTAGGAGTCTCTCCTGGCTATGCCAGTTTTAACAATATACATTACGCTTATGTCTATCTGGAATGACGTATATTTCAAGCGGCGAAAGAATCATACACGTGTAGTGGTCCCGAAAATTACTAATATAACTACTGTGTCCAGATACACACAAACTCACAAAATTCTCTTTATATTAGCATATTGGTGGAGATCATGTGACCTTTAAACTTAGGTATATGTATACCTACGAACTTTTGTAAAAAAATTACATCCTACAGTAACTGTACATTTTATTTATAAAACTTGTGCAATCGTTGCGCGATCAAGTGCAATAATCTAGATAAAGAATACGTAGAGATTGGCAAAGCAAAAGATAAAAAACTATGTCATAGCGAAATAGATGAGAAATAATTCCGTACCAGTTATTGAACGAAATAAATTATGTTTACTGCTGTATTATATAAAGTGTATCTGTTAGTTACGTAAGTAAAATTGTAACTAAAAACTTGTAAAGGAACTAAAATAGTTTTATTTTACCTATTAAATTGGCAGTTATTTTTATACACCATAATAAATAATAATAGAAAAAATCAAACAACAGAAATAGATTAAACTAAAAAAAAATAGATTTCCATACTATTGCACATGTTTTTTTATTGAACAATACAATATAGTATATTCGAATTTCAATACTGAAAACATTCAATTTATTAGCTATGTTTACTCAGTTTTGCATTTATTTAGCATTTTTCTCCTCTGAGACAGCATATGGCCAAAAAGTACAGGGAATAGTGGAATATATAAAATCATATAGAATATTACAAAGTAGTAATAATTAAAAAGTATGTTCCAATCATTGGGCATGGTCATAGTAAATATATTCTTTTCGGCAATCTCGTCCAGTGCATGATACATACATAAAAGTTCCCCGGTTATTCCCAAGGGGTAGAGTATTAGAAATGTGCTGTATCTGAAAAAAGAAATAATTATAATTAAAAAATGCATGAATGATTACTTCATATTTCACAGAATAATATAACCGCAACTGTGTTTGTATAATAATTATAAATGTAGTTCATTTCTTTAAATAATTTCATAACATAGGATAGCCTACATAAATAGGATATAAAAGGCTAAACCAATTACTACCAGTTAACCTATGGCTTGAGAGGAATTCTTAAATGCAGCGCCTAATTAATATAGAGCAGATAAGAAGTATCATGTCAGAGCAATCACAGAGCAAAATGAGCTAAGTTTGCTGCAAAAAAAATTGAGCTCGATTTCGCTAATAACAGGGCAACCTAAAGTTATTCACTGTGCTACCTGATCCTATATTGCTACTGATTTAGTGTCGCATCTAGGCCCTTTTATGAAACATTGAATTAAGCATATCGACAAAACTTTTGTTTCTTTATATATTGCGGATTATTTTATTCACCGACAATTATTGGTTACATCTACCACAAAACCCTACTAGAAATTAGAATTTCTAATTCTTACAACTAGTTTTAAATAACAAACCAGTTCAATAACTTAAAATATGTAAATAAGATATTCGAGGTATGTTTGAAAAAATAATGTCAACTGTCAATGTATATTTCAATCCAATGTGCTTGCAACCAGGCTAAACCAGGCTAAAGCCGTGTCTCACGTTGATTATTTTTGATGTTTCTAACATCGGAAACTCAGTGCAAAATATAAATCGACACAGCTTTTGAATATCGACCAAATATGTGACCTTTTAAGTCTAAGTTATTAAACCACTGGGTCACAATCTCTAAATTAGAGAATATACTAGTGACAATCGCAACTTCTCAGCATGTATTTAGTACTATTTACATTACTATGGACATAAAATGTTACATGTGACCCACATGTAACATTTTATGTCAAAATTTCATCCCAACTCGTATAGTAGTCTTTACACAAACAAAAAGATATACATACATACTGTCAGTTTTCGCTTGGTCATGATAGTTTAGGATTCTATATCTATAAATATAAAGATATAAATCGATCTTACCTTAAAAATAACAATAACCGTGGCACACCATTGACTAGATTCAAGGTATAATATCCATATCGAATTATTTCAGTGATGGACCAAGCAAACACACATAGTGCAATGCCAGGGCTGATGGTAGCACCGTAAGTGACCAGCAGAATTCCACAAACGAGAAAAACTCGAGAGTAAACTTGCATGAGAACCACAAAAACACTAGACGGCACTAGCCCTACCGCCGCATGTAACACCTGAAAAAAAAAAGAAAACCTAATTTATTTTTTATCCGTAAAATTTTTCACTGTACGATTCTTTAAAATAGTTACTTTAACGTTTTACTTATAAAAGCAATACCTAAGTATTGAATAATTGATAGTTTCGTTATTTTAACGCCTTGGTACATATCTCACTTCCAATTGACGCGGGTTCGAGGGCTTTCCAATTTGTTGCTTGTTGAGTTTACCGTTGGTCGTGTGATCCTCTGTGAGATTCCGGTTCGCCGTCGAGTCTCCAGAGTGAGCCCCGCAACTGGTGCCCACTTGCGCAAATTGTTGAGAGCGATACAGTGCGTAATCCAGCTACACAAAGTGTACTTTGTCTAGCGAGAGAACGCGCTAGGATTGTAGACCGAATTTGTTGACGCAAATTCGTTGCTGCAATCCACTTGCGACTGTCTTACAGTGCGACCACCTGCCCTTTCAAGGCGGAATTCCCTACTTTTCGGTAGGTTCGTCGTGGGGTTCCAGCCCCCACACCACCCTCTCCCACCCCTCCAGTCTCCTTTCCTAGTACATCACCCGTTCGTGTCGTGATGTCGCAAAGGGGCAAAGCCCCCAGGAAACCTCCTGACAGGGGAGCTCCCCGAACTGTCGTGCGTCGGGATCTGAGGAACCCGACCAAGCTGGTCCCCGCCACTGAGCTGGGGACCTTCCACGCTCGCCCGGCATCCAAGGGCACCCCCTCTGCCCTCGCGGGAAGCGGCAATGATGCCGCCGACCGGGAACCAGGCAGAGGGGAAAGATGCGCGCAACCTGGCCCATCCAAAAGACGCGCACCGCCGTCGCCGACCTCGCCCGCTAGAGGCGACAAACGGAGGGACGTAGAGGAGTCCCCCCCCGCGACCTCGACCTAGTGAAGGCGCCGCCGACGCCGAGAATCCGGCTCGTGGACAAGGGCTACCAACCCCTACCGTCCCAGTCGGGTACCGTGCGGCGAAAGCCCTCACCCCCTCCGCGCTCACCCCCCCCCCCGCCGGATAGCGGGAGCGAGGAGGAAGGGGAAGACAGGCGTTTTTACGGCGACGTACATGCGTCGCCTGCGACCTCGCCTGAGCCTTCGCCAGCACCCTCGCGTGTGCCCTCGCCGCTACCTCGCTCCTATACGCTAGATAGGGGCGAGTATCATGCCACGTCATATGCGGCACTTGAATCGGTGCCACAATCGCCCGAGCCGATGCTCCCCCCCGTCCCCTCGCCGCGACGACGAACCCCGCCGTCCTTTGCGGCAGTAGTGGCAGGCCCCGCCACCCCAACCCCCGCCACCACGGCTCCAGCCCCGCAAATGCCCTCACAGGGTAAGGTCGCCGATACGGGCGTAGAACCCGCCACAGGGCGAGGCAAATACCCCCCCATAGTGGTAGAACGCCTCCCTAACTGGACGCGCCACTTCGACCAGCTCAGGCGCGTCCTGGGGGAGGCTCCAAATGCACGACCCTTCGGCAGTGGGGTCAGATTCCTGCCAAGGACGGACGACGAATTCCGAGCCGTCCAGAGATACCTCATAGAAGCCAGCGAGAAGGACCCAACTATAAGTTGGTACTTCTACAGTCTGGCCTCGGAACTGCCCACCAAGGTGGCGATACGGGGCCTCCCCGCCGACACCCCCAATGAGAGGATAGTGGATGCCCTACAGGATAAGGGATTCGGAGTGCGACTGGTGCGGGGTATTCCTGCCCGTCGCGGTCGTCCCGGCTGTATCTTCCACGCTCAACTCGACCCCATGGACAGGGATGAGCTCGCACGCTTATATGCGGTGGACGAGCTCCTGTACATGCGTGGTGTCGTCGTTGAAGCGTGGAAGCCGGCATCTGTGTTGCCTCAGTGCCACAGATGCCAGGCATTCGGCCATGCGTCGGCCAATTGTCACCGGCCCGTCAAATGCGTTCGCTGTGGTGGGGAGCACCCGGCGGCGAACTGCGACAGGCCGCGTGACCAAAAGCCGACCTGCGCCAATTGCGCAAAGCCGCACACCGCCAACGACCGGAAGTGCCCGGTGTACAAAAGAGAGGCCCGGCAGAGGGGAATCAAACCCCGTCCCCCCGTCCCCACTGCGACGTCGATGGCGCCCACGGCGCAGCAACGGCGGCTCAACAATCCCACCGCGGCGCCTCGTACATACGTCGCCCAGGCTCCCCCTCCCGTAATAACGGTCGAGGAAACCGCTGGCGCCAACCTAATGGCGCCGGCTAACGAACCGACGCAACGAGGCGCCGACGCCGGTGCAATTAAAAAGCGCCGCCGCCGAAGACGCGGCAAGAAGAGGCGCGGAGATGAGCCAGTGACGGCATCAACCCCAATCCCCTTCCTACCTGATCCCACCCCAATATTTGCGTACAACGTACCCCCCTCCCTTCCCATGCATGCCGTCCCAAATCAGGGCCCGCGTGCAGCGCCACGTCGCCGCCAGGCGGCGCCACCGGCACACAATGTGCCGAGAGTGGCTTTCAAGCCGCTTTTGGCGGACGTAAGACGCGCACCTCCCGCGCCTCCCACATACACCGCATACCCCGCGCCGCGTTCGGCACGCGCCGCGCCCGCCCCCTTCACACAAGCGCCCGTCGACAGAGCACTGAACATGCTTATTAGCCTGTTGACGGAGCTGCATACTATGCTCGCGGCCGGCGCAGATACTAAGTCGGCGGCATTAAATGGATTGGCCAAAATCCAACAGTACACAAATGGCGGGTACTAGCCTGCGCATTGTGTACTGGAACCCCGGGGGAATAAAGGATACAGTCCAGGACCTCCGTCTCCTAGCTCGCACCCAGGATGTGCACATCATACTCCTGGGTGAAACGAAGCTCACAGAAAAGGAGACGTTGAGGGTGCCTAACTACCACGTGTATAGACGCGACGAAACGTCACCGGCGGGCATTGCGTACCGCGGTACGGCGGTACTAGTCCGTCGAGACGTAGTCCACGTGGAGTTAGAGCGCCCCGAGTTCCGCGTCATGCGCTCCATAGGAGTCAGCATCAACGTCGACGGCGCGGAACTGAAGGTCCTGGCAGCTTACCGTCCCCCGGGACTGGATTTCAGCCCCTCCGATGTCCGGAACGTTCTGGATGGGAGGAGTCCCACCCTGCTTATGGGCGACCTAAACGCGAAGCACACGGCTTGGGGTTCCCGTCTGTGCTCGCCGATAGGTCGAAGACTCCTCCAGGATTCGCAGATCCACGGGTACGAGGTGTTGGGCCCAGCGCACCCAACCCACGTACCCTCAAATCCCACACATAGCCCAGACGTTCTGGACATTGCCCTAGTGCAGGCTGTGCCTTGCCCGGTCTTACTGGAGGTGCTGTACGACCTTGACACGCAGCACCTCCCAGTTCTAGCCACGCTTGACCTCTCCACCACCACCACACCGACGAGACCGTCGAGGCGGCGGATGGATTGGCGTGTTTTTCGCGCAGAATTGGAGCATCTACACCTCGACGGCGAACTATCATCGCCAGCGGGTGTCGAAGCCGCCTCCACACTCATAACGGAGCGAATTCGCACCGCAGTGGAGGCGGCAACTACCACAATAAACGTGGCTTCTCGCCGTCGAGAGGAATTGCCACACCATCTGCGCGAAAAACTCGCCCGGAAAAAGAACCTCCGTCGCCTATGGGCCCGAACCCGCTGCCCGCGGGTCAAGCGTGAGCTCAACTGCCTTGCTGCAGAGCTGTCGGAGGGAGTGCGGGATTGGCGTGGAGCCGCCTGGGAGGGTGTCATATCCCGGGCCGGCGAACACGATACCGACCTGCACAAACTCAATCGACAGCTCACCAATGCACGACCCCCCGTCTGCCCGTTGCTTGACGAGACGGGCAGACGTCGTTACGCAGCCCAAGACCGGGCAGAAATCCTGGCACAGCACTTGGAGGGGCAATTCACGGCCAATCCAATAGCCGCCGACGCACCCAGCACTGTCGTCGAGCACCACGAGCGAGTCGTACGTCGCGTATGCGATTTCCGTACCGCTCCGTCGCCGGACGTAAACGAAGTGAGCTTCGTTTCGCCCGGCGAGGTAAGGCGGCTCGTCAGCCGCCTGCCGAAGCGCAAAGCGCCCGGAGCGGACGGGATCAGCACCGCAGCGCTCGCACAGCTGCCCCGTAGAGCCCTAGCGTGTCTAGCGAGGCTCTACAACGGCATACTCCGGACCGGCCACTTCCCTACCAACTGGAAGTTGGGTAGTCATAGTCCTCCCGAAACCCGGCAAGGACAAGCGCCTGCCGGCAAGCTACCGGCCCATCACTCTGCTCTCGCACGTAGCAAAGTCGTTCGAGCGCCTCCTGCTCCGCCGCCTGAGACCGACTCTGTCGCCTCGCGACGAGCAGTTCGGTTTCAGAGGCGGACACTCGACGACTTTGCAGCTGACGCGCGTGCTCCACCATATGGCTGTCGAGCACAACCGCGGCCACTACACGGTCGGCGTATTTCTCGATATAGAGAAGGCGTTCGACCGTGTGTGGCACGACGGTTTGGTGTCGAAGTTGCTCGACACCAACACGCCGTCAGCATACGTGCGAGTAGTGGACTCGTTCCTCTCGGGCCGGAGCTTCTATGTTTCGGTCGAGAACTGTGATTCTACCACACGCCCAATTGCCGCCGGAGTCCCGCAGGGCAGCTGCATTTCGCCAGCGCTCTACGCGACGTACACAGACGACATCCCCACCTTGAGGGATGAGCTCCGAGAGGGAGAGAGGGATGTCGTCCTCGCTCTTTTCGCCGACGACAGTGCCTTTCTTACGTCGTCTCGCCGAGCCTACGCAGCCGCTCGCAAAATGCAGCGGCTGTTGGACCTGCTCCCCGAGTGGCTGGATAAGTGGCGTATCACCGTTAACGTAGGTAAAACGGTGGCGCTGCTTACCCGCCCCGGGTGCAAATGCCCGCCGCCCCTCTTACTGAGAGGCCAACCCATCCAGTGGGAGCGCACAGTGCGTTACCTAGGGGTGGAAATCGACCGGTCGCTGCGTATGACGCCGCAGGT